TGTGACACCCTTCGCGGCACCCACACCGAGATAGACGTGGTGTGACATCCTTCGCGGCACCCACATCGAGATAGATGTGGTGTGACACCCTTCGCGGCACCCACATCGAGATAGATGTGGTGAGACACGCTATGCGGCACCCTCATCGAATAGTTGAAAAGTCGAATAGTCGAGGTAAAAAAAAAGTGAGCTCCAAAGTGCATAAACTCCAAATTTGGAGCTCACTTACGTATCTGTCAAAAAAAGTGAGCTCCAAAGTAGGTCAGATTCAAACTTCAAGCTCGCATAGCCATTAATTGAAATGCTAGTAGAACTATCTGAAATGCTACTAGCGTCACCTGGAATGCTGGTAGTATTATCTGGGATCCTGTTAGCATTACTTGGGATACTATTAGCATAGCCTGGAATGCTATTATCGTCACCTGGGATGCTGATAGCAGTGTCTAGGATGCTACTAGCATTACCTGGAATGCTATTACTATCACCTGGGATACTGGCAGCATTACCTGGGATGCTGCTGGCAACACTGACATGCTCGTAGCATTACCTGTAATGCTACTAGCATTCCAGGTAATGCTAGTTGCATCCCAGCGTTGCCAGTAGCATCCCAGGTAATGCTACCAGCATCCCAGGTGCTGATAATCGCATTCCAGGCGATGCTACTAGCATCACAGGTGAAGCGACTAGCATCCCCGGTGATGCTTCCAGCATCCCAGGTGATGCTTGTAGCATTCCAAGTGATGCTTCTAGAATTCTAGGTGATGCTTCTAGCATTCTAGGTGATGCTTCTAGCATATCAGGTGAAGTTACAAGCATCCCAGGTGATGCTTCTAGCATCTCAGGTGATGGTACTAGCATCCCCGTGATGCTACTTGCATCCTAGGTAATGATACTAGCATCCCAGGTGGAGCTCACTTTTTTTGGCCAATACGTCGAATAGTTGAAAAGTCGAAAAGTTGAAAACTCGAATAGTCGAATAGTTGAAAGTTGAATAGTTGAAAGTTGAATAGTTGAATAGTTGAATAATTGAAGAAGTTGAATAGCCGTAAGCACTCTTCGGCTTCTACATGTATGAAAAATAGGTGACCCTAATAACAACACCAAGCTAATTTTTGTCCCTAATAACAACACTTCCATCGAAATTGGTGTATGAGTGTGCATAAAACAAAAACTGATTTCCATTTTAATAGCTTGATGGATTGTGATCGTTTTCCACAACTTTATTTCATTTTTCATGATAGGTCAATTTTTTGTGCCTGGGGTACCCCTCAGGTATTCGAAAAACTTTTTTTGTTTTCGTTTGAGTTTTCACATTTATAAATCGATAGAACTCAGTGTTCTGACTACGAATGTCATATTATTTTTCAAAATTCATCGAGTAATAAGAAAAATCTAGACCATTCAAGACAGGCATAAAAATGGGTGTGGGTGTGGGTGTGGGTGTAGGCGTAGGTGTGGTTGTTCACTCCATCCGTAGTCACACCCACACTCACACCCAAAAAACGTAACTGCTACACAGATGCTCAATCGAGATTATGTAAATGGATTAATACATAATGATGATGCTTTTATATTCTTAAGATGTGCTCGATTTTCATCAGCATTTTGGGAACGAAAAAAGAAAGAAGTTATGGCAATGATCAGGCAATTAGGATGTTCAACACTATTTTTAACATTATCAGCAGCAGAAACACAGTGGTCAGAACTTATTATAATATTAACTCAAGTTTTGGAAAATAAAGTAATAACATTAGAAGAAGCAGAGAGTATGAGTTATGAAAAGAAATGCGATTTGATAAGAAATGATCCTGTAACATGTGTTCGTTATTTTCAACATAGATTAAAATGTTTATGGGAAATATTATCAGCTCCTTGTGGTCCATTTCAAGGCTATGAATTAGTAGACAAGTATGTCAGAACTGAATCTCAAGTTCGTGGTTCACCACATGTTCATGTTCTACTATGGTTAAAGAATGGTCCAAAATATGGCGAAAATAATCCTGAATCAATTGAAAGATGTATAGAATTTATTGATAAATTGATTTCGGTTAGTTCTAAGCCAGCGAAGTTTTCTGAAGAACTTAGCAATTTGCAACGTCATAAGCACTCACATACTTGTAAAAAATATGTAAAAGATTGTATTAAATGTCGTTTTAGTATTCCATATTTTCCGATGAGAAAAACGATGATTTTAGAACCATTTAATGACGATGAAAAGTTAACTAAGAAAGAACGTGAAGAGATCAGCAAAAATAGACAGAATGTAATCAAAGAACTTGACAAAATATCAAAATATCAAGATAATTCATTAACTTTTGAAGAATTCTTGAAGCATGTAAATATGAATGAAGAAGAATATATTAAAATGATTCGAGCTGCATTGAAAAAACCGAAAGTATTCTTGAAACGTGCTCCAAGTGAAATCAGAATCAATGCATACAATCCAATGATAATGTCATTGTATAAAGCAAATATGGACATTCAATACATTTTTGATCCTTATACATGCTCGATGTATTGTGTTGATTACATCAACAAATCTGAAAATGGCATGTCTAAACTTCTAAGAGAAGCACTGAATGAGCTAAAAAAAGGCAATAACACAGTCAAAGAACGTCTTAGAGTTATTGCAAATAAATTTTTGAATTCAAGCGAAATTTCAGCACAAGAAGCTGTTCATCATATTTTAAGTATTCCACTTTCAATCAGTAGCAGAAGCACTGTATTCATTAATACAAATAGACCCGAAAATAGAATTTCTATGATCAAATCAGATGAAATTCTTCAGAAACTGGAGCCTGATTCAAAAGATGTTTTTGTTGAAGGCTTAATTGATATGTACATTAATAGATCTGACGAAATGAAAAATGTCTGTTTGGCTTATTTTGCTTCATTGTATAATGTATCAAAGAAAATAACAGACAATGCTCAAATCACACAAAATTCTGATGATGAAAATGTCGTTGACAATGAAATTGATGAAAAAATTATTCCTTTGAAGATGAAAAATGGAAAAGGTTGGATTAAAAAAAGGACAAAGAAAAAAATAATAAGATACAGAAATTTTAAGCTACATCAAAATCCTGAAAATTATTAGAGAGAGCAGCTGATGCTATTTCTACCATGGAGTAATGAGGAGAAGGATTTTATTCATATAAATCATGAAGAGACATTTGAATTAAATAAAGATTTGATTCAACAAAAAAGATCTGAATATGTTCATCGTGAAGCCAATGAATTCGAAAAAGCTTTTGAAGAGCAAACAGAAAGAGGAAATGACGATGATATTGATGATACAAATATTGAATATGGTCAAGATAAAAATGAATTTCTTATTTATGAAACAGGAAATAATGAAGGCGATATCTTTGTTGAAATGGGAATAAATACTCGAACTGAAAAATTCGAACATTTTAATGTTCCCAAAATGATACCAGATGCTGATTATCAGCGATTGATGAGAAGTCTCAATAGTAATCAAAGGAAATACACTTTAAATGTGATGAATTTAATTAAAGACGGTGATAAGCAATTTTTTCATTTCATTAATGGAGGTGCAGGTGTTGGCAAAAGTACTTTGGTCAAAGCAGTATATCAGTCGATATTGAGATTTTACAATTCTCTTCCATGGTCTAATCCAGAAACTATCCGTGTCGCAATATGCGCGCCAACTGGCAAAGCAGCAGCATTAATTGACGGAATGACTTTGCATTCATTTCTAAGTTTACCAGTTAATCAATGCAAACATAAACTTGTTAAACTAGACAGCGATGTTTCAAATAGAATTGGAGTAAAATTGAAAGACTTACAATTACTAATAATAGACGAAATATCAATGGTTGGTTTTACAATGTTTCAGCAGGTCGATGCTCGCCTGCAGCAAATAATGAAGTCAAAAGCACCATTTGGTGGAATATCAGTTATAGTTTTGGGCGATTTCAATCAATTAAGATCAGTTGGCGATAAATACATATTCCAATTTAACAATTCATATAATGCGTTAGTAGATAATCCATTATGGTCACTATTTGAATTGTTCGAATTGACAGAAATAATGAGACAAAAAGATGATAAGACTTTTGCCATTGCACTGAGTAATCTAGCAAAAGGAATGATGACACTTGAAGATATTAATTTATTTAAGTCACGAATCATTTCAGCTGAGAAATTGAACGTAGTTGAAGATGCAATAAGAGTATTTAGAAGTAATGCTGAAGTTGATGCATATAATGCAAAAGTATTGTCTAGTCTTAACACCGAAGGTGCAACTGCAAATGCTTATGATTTTTGTGTTGGTGATGGACTAGCATCAGTAAAAGAAAAAGTGTTAACCAACGTAAAGAATCTAAAAACAACTGAAACTTATGGATTACCACTTGAAATCAATTTGAAAGTGGATGCTAAATATATTATGACAGTCAATATTGATATTGAAGATGGTCTAGTCAATGGTGCTTTTGGAAAATTAATAATGATTGATCATGGAAAACTTCAAAAGACTAATGAGACAGTACCATGTAGACTATGGATTAAATTTAATGAAGAGAAAATTGGGAGAAAAACTATAGCTAATTTTCAAAATGTAATGCGAAATAGAAATATTGATCTCAGTCTCACGCCAATTGAACCAGTGACACGACAAATAAATACAAAGTCAACAAATTTCAAAGTAGAACGTAAACAGTTCCCAGTAGTTCCTTGTGAAGCTATGACCATATACAAAAGTCAAGGTGGTACTTACGAAAAAGTCGTTGTCAATCTGAAGAAGGGGATGACAAGATCTGAATTATACGTCGCTTCTAGTCGCGCAACAAAAGCAGGTGGTTTATATTTAGTTGGCGACTTTGTTCCACTAAAACCACCTGAAAGTAATGATGCAGTAGCGATGATGTTCAAAAACATGAGATCTGAGCGAATGCTGAAATTTTCACTTGAATTTCCTAAAGAGTCTCAAGAAAGATTTTATTTAATGTTTTATAATGTATAATCACTGAATAAACATTTTTTGGATGTCGAATCTGACAAAACATTTTTGTCTGCTTCCATAATAAGTCTTGTTGAAACATGGACAAAATCTAGTGACTCTTTAGAAATTGAAGGTTTCAAGATAGTTCAAAGACGTGATTGCAATGACATACGAAAACCATTTGGTCAAATTACTTATTTGAAAAATGACTTGAATTATGAAAATATTCTCGAAAAATGTGAATATTCAGGAAAAAACCATATTGAATACTCTTCAATAAAAATTGATGATTTTTGTATTATTTCTATTTACAATTCGCCAAATTCGTCATTTGATGTCATAAAACGACATATTAATGAAGTGATTACTGTTTCCAAACGATTTTGTGAAAATATAGTTGTTATTGGTGATTTTAATATAGATTTGAAGATAAAAACTAATCACAAATTTATTGACTATATGGAATCATTCGGACTCACTTTAATTAATAAATTAAATAAAAATTCAACTAATGCTAAAACACAGATCGACTATTGTTTTACTAATGGGAATGGTTTGAAATCTGATTATTTTGAAAGTCTAACAAGTTTTCATAAACCAATATGGATAAGAAAGCGTGAAATTTTGACTGGAATTCATGTTGATGAAATTAAACAAATTCGTACAGATATACCTTTTAATCTGAAAGATCTTAGAAGTTATGATCAGTCTGATACGATGGAAGTCGACGAGGAATTTTCTTCCGATCGTTATAAAATAGTTGATGAAAACGAACAAACTGATATAGATAAGACTTTTAATCTTAAAGACCGTCACACCAATGATCAGTCTGATATGATGGAAATCGATGAACAATCTTCTTTTGCAAATTATGAAAACATTGATTCAAACTCAAGAAAAATTCTTGATCACTTTCTTCTCGTACTTGATTTTAATAGTACTACAGATACTGATCAAATTTCAAATCAAGTTCAAATAATCAATGATTTGATTGGAAAATCACCATTTATAACTATGCATAATAAAGATCAATCCGTCCGGTTAAAATCGAAAACAGAATATTCTGTTCAAGCATTTGTTTCAGTTTATACTAGAACTCGTACAACTGCAGATGGCAATTGTTTATATAGTTCTCTTTCGATAATAAATATTGCGTCTGAAAAACTAACACATTCAATGAGATTGTTAGCAGTCAATGCAATGATTAATAATAGCGATTATTTCCAAACACTTTGTAAAGTATTGGACTATTCATTTGAAGAACAGTTGCAAAGAACTGCTACGAATACAATATGGGGTGGAGAAGTTCAAATCCAAGCACTTTCTATAGCTCTATCTCATCCTATTTATTCATACATCCAATTTGACAACAATCCAAAAAATAGACATTATATTCCATTGAATATTAGTGTACAGGAATTAATCGATCGATTTAATAAAGGAACAGCAGGTAGTCATTTAAAACATATAGAATACAAATCCGATATGAATAAATTAGGATTTTGTATTTATTACAACGGTACTCACTATGATGCTCTTTTACCTTTTCAAGCTAATCCTCAACAATTTGTACCACATTTTGACAAGATTAATATGAGTTTATAACACGATTCAACTAAAACAAACAAGTTTTCATTTATGCGAATGAATAAAGCTTCTGGAACTAACTCCTCACCACGTCCTATGGGGCAAAAAGAGGGCATCCGCAGGGCCTAAGGGGCAGTTCCTTAGTGCGCTCAAGGATGAATGTTTTTCGACAGATTGATCAAAATCAATCTGTCGTCAACTATTTTTACTTTTTGAAGTACGCATAACACTCGGATTTAAATCCGAGGTTTCCGCATTTATTTTGTAGACAAAAATTGTATTTTTTGAACATTTTTTAAAATAAACAACTATTTGAAAAAATGCCTTAAACTTTTGATCACATGGAAAAAAGAATTTTTTTTCCAAATAAATGAAAATACTTTCCTTCAGAGATCTAAGCATACTATTCTTATGGTCCGTTGTGAAAGCTATCAAAATACTTATATAGATGTTGCTATCAAATAGCTTTTGATGTAGTAAATGGAAAAACAAAAAGTGCCTTAAACTTTTGATTCCCACTTTAGGTATATATAGTTAAGTAGTTAGTTACATAGGTAGTTAGTTAGAAAAGTTTGCAGATAAGTTAAGGATGTAATAATGAAGCTATCTATCTGAGTATCAGTTATCAATACTATATGAATGGTTCATACGGTCAAGAGTATCATGAAAAAACAAACCAAGAGACGCTGAAATAGAGAAAAAGTAATGGCACGTATAAATGTATGTAAAGCTTGGACGTGTCAGAATGTCAATTGCGGATCCCCATTGGGAATCAGAAACGTTTACAAAAAGACAGGTGTGAAAATGGCTTAGCATCTGTAATGCATAAACTGTTAAAAAATTTAGCAAGCGTAAAAAGTGATCGTTTTCATGCGAGATTTTTCTGAATGCCTTTGGATGATAATCAGGAACCTCTATTAGCACCTGAAAACAGCCCATGTGTTTAGAGTATTCTCACGCGTTTTTTACTTTTTTTTTGTCTGCCTAGGTAGAACAAACTATAGACCTGAAAGTGTCAGTGTTATATAGAGGACAGTTCGTCGATTATAAAACATCAATAAAATTTAACCCTGTGAGGACCGCGAGGCATACGTTGTCCCACCTGTTTTCCAATAGAGAGAAAAGTATTTAGTTTATATTGAACTGTTAAATATGTAAGGTCATTAAAGTCACAGACAATCGTATTTGTTATCTCACACTTTTTTTCTTTTCTTTCTTCTTTCTCTCATATACTTTCGTTTTAAATATCCTTCGTTCTTGCTGCTAGAGTATAATGATGTCTTGATCTCTCTCTTCTGTAATTGTTTTCGAGAATATTCTCAGTTTCTATAAAGTTGGTATATACACTCCCGTTCTCATTGACGAATTTACATTATTCTTGAATTTGAAAAGTAGATCATTTCTCTGTCGCACCTATACTCTCTATATATTTATACCATTTTTATAATAAAAACCGAAACAAATGGAATTCTATGGAAATAATGAAGTCGATGATGAGTCCTGTGATTCGTATTCCAGTGATGACAGTAGCGAGAATGACTTCGATTTGAATTGCGATGAACTGGTTGCTAACTTAGATGAACCTGAACTTTCCGATGGAGATTTGGATATATATGTAGAGGAGGAGCTCAATTCAATGGAAAAAAAAATTCGGTCCTCAAAGGGTTAAAATTTGTTTAAGATTCATAGAGATATTTGAGCCCCAAAAGTGTTACAAACGAGCATTTTTCTGTAACGCTTTCTCAAAAAACAGAGCACGAAGGAAAAACACGCCTGCTACAAAAAAATGATTATACCAACGAGTAGTATCTAGGGTAAAACTTTCAGATTTCTCTTATTTGAAACAGACGAGGTAGCTAAGATCTAGTTTGGTTGAGTGGCTCTAATTTGCCTTCCTCATTTGGACTCCTTCGCAAGACTTTCCATATTTTTGAACCTATAGCTACGCTTACCGACACAAGTCCTACAAACTCAGAAGGTTTCATTCCATCCGCATGTAGTTGGTGTAAACTCTGGTATGTTCTCGAAAAAATCACTCACTTTTACACATAATTATCGTTTGAAACTGTAGAGATATTATCTTCAGATGATTAGAAAACAATACTTTTCTATTATCTATGCATTGATTACGGTACTGTTTCTATTGGCCATTACATCCATATATCTAAAGAACAACTTAACGAGCTTTGTGCGAACATACAATAGACTATATGCTGGAAAAATCATCACTAACAACAGTCAGCCCAATGACTGTCATCAATTCGACACTCTAATAACTCCAAAGATGCTGTTTCAAGAGTATTTTGCAATCCTCAAAGATTCCTCTTGGATTGCAAGACCAACAATGGACTCAATTTCGTTTGAACAGCTACATGCATTATTGTTTGGACCTGATGCAATCAATTTGTACGAAGCATGGCCGAATTACTTTAACAAAACGTTTGATGGTTCTTATCCACATACATCGCTTACACAGCCGTTGTTCGCCTCAATATTAAATGAAACCGACTTACCTATTCATCTTGTTGTTGAAGTAGGCAGTTTCATGGGAAAATCATCAACAAACATAGGCTTGACTCTTCGTAATGATAGACGATGGCCAAAATCTATTTTACTTTGCATTGATACGTGGCTTGGTGGATTAGAACATTGGGATATTCCTAGCTTGCGAAAGATGATGCGTGTTAAATATGGTAGACCAACTGTGTACGAACAATTCATTGCTAATATCATGACCAACAATTTAACGAAATCCGTAATACCTTTTTCGACCACTTCCATATTAGGGGCAAGATTTTTACTCCTTAAGAAGATCGTACCGCAAGTCATTTATCTGGACAGTGCTCATTTGCAAGGTGAAACATATGTTGAACTTGAGCTCTACTGGGCACTTCTTCAACCCGGTGGGCTTCTGATTGGAGATGATTGGTGCTGGACATCTGTGCGTTGTGATGTCTTGAGATTTTGCGGAAGTACACAAGTCAACGTCACAGTGATAGGTAATACTTGGTATATAAAAAAGAAAAAATCATCATAAACAGTTGTTTATTCAATTCAATATTGTGACTGCTATTTTATAATGAACGTTTAGCACGATATGTAGTTTATTACTAGCAAAAATAGATAAACTGTCTTTTTAGATAAAACTAATTCGGCAAAAAGTAGATTGTTCATTAACTCTTACTGCCTAGACAAACAAGTTAGTAGTATTCCAATTATCAGTTCACTTGTTTACGGTTCCGTTTGAAACAAGTTTGTAGAATATGATTGCCTGACTCATGTAACATTATGTTGATAATCTGTGGGGTGTGGGTGTGGGTAGAAAGAGACAGCGCCCCACGCACACTCACACCCATCCCACACTCACACCCACCAACACACCCACACGCACATCCACACCCACACCCACACCCACAGCCACACCCACCGACGCCCACACCCGACCACATAAAAACAACTACTATACTCTATAATAAAAAATACAAAAGAGAAGAACAGTGAGGCTGTAGTCAACGGAGCGTATGTGACTGTGCTTAAGAATCTAGTGGATATGAATTTGGGTGATGATGATTTAGGAGAGAGGCACAGTGAGCAACTAGGCGACAAAATCGATCTTTGCGATTTAAATCCAAATTATAACTATCATTAAAGATATTATGCTTCTCCGTTTAACTGTAGCCTGGGCTCTGACTGAAATTGAGTATCCGTAATACAGCAGCGATAGTAAAGTAGAAGAATCATATAAAGATCGTCAACAGCGCTATATACGAAACGTTTCTAGTTTTGATTGATAACGTAGTTATAACCAACCTTTGTTATACCGTTATATAGAAGTGAGTGTTTACTGTATATTATAGATGATTAGGATTTCTTCATGTTGTTTTATGCTTTGATAAGACCAAAAAATTATACTTAACACAACAAGAGAATGATTACTGGTGAGTGATATAATGTTGTCGAGGGACAACGCAGAGGCTTTTCTTGCAATTTTAATTTAGCACTTATTAAGTGTGTCATTACCTACCTTTGGTGGATGCGCAAAGATGCAGATGTCAGTTCTTAATGGGATACAAAGTCTCAAATATAACCTTCAATGCAGATCCGTTCAGAATGACTTCTTTAATATATACTTGTCCTTCAGATCAATGACGTTTTAAATAGGCAACAAGTAATGTTCATCAACATTGCATGTTGATTCACTGGTCCCTAGACTGACGGAGTGATACCAAAGATATGGTTATATTTTTGCAAAAGAATGAATTTTTTATAGGAAGGGTTTTGAAAGAAATCAACAATATTTCAAAAATTGTTGCATATTATTTAATGCAAATATATTGGGATTGTTGGTTAAAAAATATAAAAAAAAAGAAATTTTTGTGTATGATAAACTTTGCGATTTAGCTGATTATGAGAAACGTTTTTATTATATGACCTGTTTATGTTATAAATATTTTTCATGTTTTTGAAAATAAGTGATTTTTAAAAAAGTTGAGAAATGATTGTGACATTTTTTTCAGTTTATTTTCATGTTACTTTAAATTTGATTGTTCGATTGAATGTAAATGTAAAAGTGAAGCATCAAGCTCAGAAGTAAAATATAATTTTAAAGTTTATATATAATGAAGTCGTGAGTTTTGTGAGTAGGGATGTGTGTTTAATATTTTTCGAATAATATACAAAATTACTATGTTAGTTGTCAAAATCATAATAATGGAAAGTTTTATATGAGTATGAAATTTTTCATTAACGGATTGGTTTTCGTTTCATTTAAGGAAATAATCATCATTAAAGTGTAATAGTGAATATCAATAGTTTTCAAAAAAGAGTTGGCTGATTTGATTTCGTGATAGTAAATATTTTTACACTGTTTTAAGAAATAAATCAATGAAAATAGTATGTACTGTTTTTAAATATTTAAAAACTTGTTATTGAAATTTTTTGCAAAGGAAATTTAATGGTATAGACTATATGGAATAATTTTTGGAACGATAGAAAAACATAATCTGTGTTGTATATTAATTTTTATAATCATCAATAGCAATTTTATAGAAAATGGATAAAATTATAGTATTACAATGAATTAATTGACTTATATTTAGTAGCATTTTATATTATGTGTTATGAATCCAGACAGTAATAGGATTGATGGGAATCGTTACTTTGACAAATATGAATAGTTAACGTTGATAACTTTTCTATACTTGATAATAACTAACGTATCATATCTGAAATAAGAGCTGTGGTGAGTAATATCTTATCTGTTTTAAAGCATATGTATGTTGTTAATTAATACTGAAATGAAGAATATTTAATTTTTCTGTACATAGAACAGAAAGAACGACATTCTATATATCGTGTTAAAAGGTAAATAATAGAAATTTAAACGAACTAGTAATTATTAAGTGGTAAAAAATTTTGGTTGCAAAAAAAGTGTCAAATATATTAAGAGAAATAGAAAAAAACCTGATATTCAAATTTATTACTATTCAAAGATTGTTTTTGTCAACTTAAGATCTTATGTGTAGAAAAATTGTTAATTACTATAAATATTATAAGTTACTATGATTTGATGTATGGTTTTGATAAAATTTAATTTACAAAAAATTTAAAATCGTTGACTGATATATGTGTCGACAAATTTTTTTTGTAATTGAAAATAATCATGATTACTTCCAAATTGTTCTTTTGTTGATGAATAATAATCAGGATTTTGTGTATGTTTTAATTCATATACAGTTAACGATAAGAAATCGTTTATTGAAAATTCGTAAGGATATAATAGTTTAAAACCTTTTTGATAATATTTACTAATGCGGATTGCAGTCCGAGCAAGTGTTGGTAAATTATTCGTAAGATTATAAGATATAAATGTGCCTGTATTTAGTGCACGGATACATGCCCATATGCATAGTACTTTTTTACCATCAAAACAAATTTGAATTACATCTACATCAAATGCCATCAGATATGTATCAATAGATGTTATACTTGGATGATAAATAAATTGTAATACTATTTTTTTGCGGATATTTGGTTCATTTATAATTTCAAATATAGTAGAATCTAGAGTCATTTCTAGTTCATATACACGTCGATAAGATAAAACTCTTTGTTTGATAAAATAAAAATTAGATAGCTTGTCATATATGTTAGCCTAAGAAAAAAAAATAAAGAGATGAATGAACCTACAATTTAGTATGTTATACTAATATATCAATAAAATTTTTGAAACCTTTTCCAATGTAAAAAAAATCAAGATCACATGCAATAAATTGTGTCGTATTTCGTAAGAGACACATAAGAACTGAACCGCCAGCCAAAATGAATTGATTGAAATTTATGAATGGCAAAATTTTGTCAAAACAGAACCGATTTATTAAATTGTGTTTAAATTCTTCAAATGTTCGAACAATATCAGGTGGTGTTGGTAGATCGTTTCCATAAATGTTATAAAATTTTTTTTCATGAATTGATAATGAACATGGTCGTAATACAACTAAAAAAAGAAATTGGTGAATAGCAGTGGTATTATTTCTATATTCTTTTTAAGTTGTTTTGTTTCAGTTAATGGAAAAGGTTTCTAACGCGTTACTCAGTTATAACTTTAGTGTTGAATTCCTTTGTTTATCAAGATGAACTAGTAGAAAAAAATTGTGACCCATTACGGTAAAAAATTGAGACATACAATAAAATTAGTGGACAAATTCTGTAGTAAAGATTGACAAAATCGTTGATTTATTTATATTTAGTAGTATAAATAGGAAGCAGTCCGTCGTCATGTTTTTTTGAAAAATAGAGAATGAATAAATTAATATGTAATGATAACCATTAGATTAATAATAGAAGATATTGGATTTTAGCTCAGAACAAACACATTGTTGTATACGGAACAAATCAAACAATATAGGGCAGTTGGTTTCTACGAAGAGTTTGTTTGAAGTACGTAAACTTTTTTTTATAGGATTTTAAGATACGGTAGGAAGATTTGAGGAAAAAATAAAATTTGAAAACATGAATATGTGATTTGATGGAAAATAATTAAACGGAATATTCAGATGAAATATGATAAAGTATGAATCATAAAAAACACAGTTTGACGAATAAAATCATATATTAATAAATATGTATTGCTTTGCATTAATTATTATAAAGACTTACAAGGCACTTGGAAAATATTTACAAGAGTGTGTTTTGGCTGATATACAAAAGGTGAATATGAAAATAATCTTGCATATAAAGAAAACAGATCGGTACGATGATAAAGCCAAACTTTGTTGAAGGTGTCGATATCAAATGATTGTGGTAAAATATAAGGCCAGGATATAGTTCCATTTTTTACAGATACACTGTGTTCATGTTGAATATATCGTGTACTATGTTTTATAAAACGATTGAATAATTTTTTTAAATTAAGATGATATGATGATCTTAATATTGTCGCAAAGATTTGTTCATTTATACATAGATATTCGTTTAAAACGTAGCTGACTTTCAACTGATCGTGACAAGTCAGATAGTTATTGACAAGATCATGCATTACTGTCGATGGCAATTTTGGATGATTCATTAATTTAATTGATGATAATTAGGTTTTAAAAATTGGTTAAAATGAATAAAAAATTATAAGTGTTTGTTAACAAAATAAGAATGCAAAATGAAGTAAAAGAATGGGCCAGTTATATTGAAGAAGAAGAAAAACTGTTATTAAATGATAAATACTCAAATAGTTTCATAAAAAAAACAATATGACAAGGAATTTAGACGATATAATAGTTTTAGGCTTAATGTTAGGATGATTGTAGCACAGCTAATCGGTTGAATGATAATATTATAAAAGGAGCAATAATGGTGAAAAATGAACAATTAACATATGGAAAATTACTATTTTATAGAGACGGTATGAAATATAGAAAATTAATGACGATATAGTGTTTTCTTAAACAAAGTAGGGTTGATTATTAAAAACAGTTTTTCAAATTTTTTTAGAATAGTGAAAACGTTTTATGTTAATTTTTTGACGGAAAAAAAAATTCAAGAAAGGTTTAGCAAGGAATTGGTGATTATGCATTTAGTCAACAAATTTATAGAGTAGTAGTATAGATAGTATGATACACTGATTGCTATTATGGATTCAAGTGTCAGTTTTGTTTATTAATTATAGGTTCGTATGTAAATTTTCTTGCTTAATATGTATAATTATTATAACTAACAAGTAGCTTATGATGATATCAGAAATAATTCTCTATAATATGGAATAAATGAATGTGTTCTGTTTGATATTTTCTTGGGCTAGAGATATTTTGTAAGATAAAAAGTATTAAAGCGTAGTTAACATGAATATTTATAATTGGATAGTATACTATTTATACATAAGATTTCAAATTGATCATGATGATGATCTAACTTGATCTGTTGGTATTCGAGTTTTAGACAAATGTCACAACTATTTTTTATACGTTATTGTTTATTATTGAAATCAAACAAAATTGAAATAGTTATAATGATCGGTTATAACAATTAAAATTGCTGTCTTTTTGCATCAATAGTAATGAACAAATTGTTTTTAGGATAATGCCTGGCGGATTTTATTTGTCTGATATTTTATTGGAAGAAGATTATGGAAAAAGGTCAATTAATGAGTGAAAGTTATTCATAAAATAAGAATATTGAATACAAACTTTAGTAGAATGATAATTCAGTATGAGGGTAAAATGAAAAATTAATAAATGATACGATGTTGTAACATACAGATGTATCTGCATTCGTATGTTATAATATTACTACAAATTTAATGATTTGTTTAATATATGAACTGTTATTCAGATGAAGAGTACTATTTGTGATATCTCGATCTTTTAGTATTTAATTAAAATTAAAAAAAAAGAAAAATATTCATATGTTGTTAAATTATTGTTTTTTATGTTCATGAATTTAAGTAGAATTTTTTTTTTATAATAATTATGTGATATTGCAATCATATATCATATTGAATTAAGTTCATTAAATATTTAACCTGATTATAAATCAGTAGGTTCTTTTCCAATAATAGTTTCAGCTGAATTAAATGCTTCGTCGCATTGTGTGGTTTTTTTGGTATTAAACAATGGTGTATGTAGATTTGTAAAGAAAGATAGCGATTTCATAGTGTCTATGTGCAAATTCGTATTTAGATCATCTGAAAACAAATTATTTGTAAATATTAGAATAGTATTTCATTAGATAGTGTTAAAATTATATCAATTTTAAAACGGGTAAAGTGAACGTTTTGTATGTGGGATAGTCGTACTTGAGTGGATTATGTATGTTTATCTGTCCTCATTTGTTTGATTGAATTGAAAAGAGTAGTAGGACTACATAAGTCTTATGAGTGTTGATCTGTTATGTTTTGCTTTACAGTTGCATGCGTCATAGCCATATATTGATAATTTGTCTATTAAATAATATTACGATACAGTTACATATATGTTTTGTGTAAGTATTCATGATTTGGTATCTTTTTTTTGTGTTGTTTTCTCGAGTTAATACTTCACTTTTGTTGTTGTTTTCTGTTCTAATCCATTATATAGAAATGTCTTTTCTATATAAACAATGCTGTTTTTTAAAAAGAAGAATTATAATCAATCGTAATTGGTTTAACGCCAATTCTCTTCCGATGAAAAAGCGTCAGAGTATTTTGATAAATTTCTTTTTAGAAAATGAAATATTGCAAGTAATTGAAGAAACAATAGGTTTGTTTAAAAAATTATGAAAACTTGCAAAAGCTTTAAAATAGGCTAGTAGTTATATGAAATAAAAAGACTAAGTGACAAATTTTCTTACTATTTGTAATTTCAGAGTATTTACGTTCAATTTGATTTATAATTCCAGTATTCATATCAAATGTGCATTGTAGACGAGAAGAAATAAATTTTTGATTTTTTACCAAATCAAATAATTCAGTTTCATTAATATCGGAGCCGTCACTTTGAACATTGAGAGATTGAAGAAGAAGATTACGTGATAGAATTAACAAGTATTCTTCGGTAGATGATATTTGTATTGTTGCTTTATACGAATGTATCAATGTGTTATTGTTAGTATCACAACTATCTGCTTCTAAGTGATTAAGATGACCATCAATTTTTTTATATGAGGCAAGTAATGTTGAATAATCGAATGATACATTAGATAATTCGGGTATCGTTTCAAATCTGTATTGAAAAAAAATATTATGGTTCAATCAGATGGAAAAGAATTTTTTTTTAAGTAATTGTTATTTTAGTAAATGTGAAAAACTTGCTTTATCGAAATATATATATAATGAGTGATTATATATTGAAAACTTACGTCGTTTCCGTGATGGTAGATAAAGAAATCACATCTTTGAATAATCTTGTTTTGACTGCACTGATTTTGTAGGATTGACCAAGTTCAATTGAACTAAAGTGTATATCATGAATATTTAATAAAATTGTTGAAGTTTGATCTGCAACTATTGCTTCTTTTCTTAATTTTTGTGTTCGTTTGTAACCTGATGTAATTACATATGTTTGAGGTTCACCAATTTGAATTACTTTACATTCCAGTGCGCATATTCTTTCTTCAGCTAATGTTTTCAAATTTAATATGTTTTGACTGATGCACCATTGTGGTTCGTATGCTAAATTTTTTTCAATTACATGAGTATCATTTGTAATCATATAAGATTGTCCAATAGATTTTAAACATGATAATTCAATTCCTTGTTGAGTAATATTATGAGCTATTAAGACTGGATGTAATCGACATGTACTATTTGGTAATAAATATCGTAAAATAGTTATGATAGTAGCATTAGGTCCCTCCATCGTTAATTTGTAATGAAAGTTTGAATTATTTTCATTTTTTGTTATGTTGGTAAGTCGAATTATATAACCTTGTAATGAAATAAGATTTGATTCGTTTGTTGTTTTTAAACTAGTGTTATGACGTTTCATGTCAATTTAATATTAGTATGTTGAGACAAAAAAGAAAGATTATGAGAAAATTTATGAAAAATATACACTAAAAAATTTTTGAATGTCAAATGAAATATTATGAATAAAGAAAGAATTTAGAAAAACAAATAATACAACGAAACGGCGCGTTTATCAATAAATTCATATATTTGCCAAATAGAATCATTTTTTGTATTATTTTTCAATATCATTATGTTCAATCGATTTATTTCAACAAACTTTTTTTCGGTACCAGGAACAGCAAAAAATAATAATGAAAATTCATTAATTTCTACGGGTGGTACAAATATGTTTTTATACGACAAGTACAATATAGAACAAGTAAAAATTCAAAATGGTGTACCAAATCGATCTCATAATATTACTAAGACTAGTTGTCCGATAAATAAGAGAATTCCATCAAAAAAGGTAGATCAAAAATATTTATTATGATGTTGGAATATTTTTGTTTTTCTATGAAATAGTTATGTTATTCAGATCATGCTCGATTTTTTACAAAAAATATGATAGAATCTTATGGAAAAACTATGAGAAATGAAATATCAGATAATGAATGCGTTAATAATATATGTAATTTTAATCATAATTTTTTTCAAACTACTTATCCAGATAATCAATCATATGAAGGTTCAGAATCATATTTTAATGAATTAGTGTGTAATAATTATTCGAAAAGTATTAAAAATGAATTAAGCGAAAATAATGTATTAGAAATAACCAAAAACAGTAGTCCATTATATGTCTATAACAAAAGTGCACAACGTAATAATCGAAGACGACAGGAACGTGCTTTACGAAAAGGCATGCATACAACTAATTGCAAAGCATCATCAACAACTGACCTTTATAAAAATAAAAGTTGACTAAAGTATCTCGATAAAAATTTCTATGTATGATTTTCTGAATTTATCTATGGATTAAAGATTAGACTGGAGGAAAATACTATTTATTTTAGATTATTAGAAACATGATAATACCAGCAATTTTGATATTGTTTTTTAGATTAATCTAAACCACAAATTTACATCAGCAAATTTTTTAAATATGTTTATTATAATACAAATATATAAATATGCGATTGATTCACATAGAGTAAATAAACGAAACATATGTTTCAGATATATGGCTGTTTTTAGTTTTTAATGTCGAATATGTGAAAAAGAGAAAATTCTATCTATTAAATGTTATTATGGTGTTTAAATTAGTTTTCATTTGCGAACTCTTAGTTGGAACAAACCTACATTCGTAGAAATGTATTTGATGATTCTAATCACAGTGTTAAGAGTTCTTATCTTATAGAAATATAGCTGTCTTCATGTCAGACAATAGAATAGCTTAGTGATTTCTATAAATTTTCAATTCTGTATAAATGATAAGTTTTGTACATATAAGTTAGGAGTGAAAATAGGTTGTTTTACGAAACTCATATTATTATTTGTCATGACGATGTGTTTGATTGATTTCAATAATACTCTGTCAAGATAAGTTCGACAATATTAAAAGTATGTAGAATCAGTTCAATATTCGCATTACATTGAGTTTTCATTATATTTTGATAAATTTTCTAAACGTTTTAATTCAATGATCATATCAGGATGTGGCTTTTGGTCCAATATTGATCGAGGAAAATGTCATAATATAGCCATAGTATCACGAGATGTAAAACGTGATATTGGTACATACACATTTGCAAGATCGGATTTAGAATATGGTGGAGGAACTAAATCTATTATACCATATGACAATGTTTTACCTTGACATTTATGTGTTGTCATTGCATAAGCCGGTACTATAGGTAATTGAGTTCGTGAAATAGTTATAGATGTTTTATTATTTAAGAGTCTTATTTGTGCTACAGTCATAAATGATTTTAAATCAATTTTAATTGTTTTTTCTTGTGGCACAATAGGTATGATAGTTGGTTGTAGATCTGTTAAGCAATTTGTTAGTTTAGATTGTGGTAGTTCTACTAATGCATATAATGGTTTTCTAATATAAATAGTATTAATTGGAAATTTAGGATCACACAAATTAGCATTAGTAGATGAGTTTTGATCATCATCCACTACTAGACGAACTAATCGACCAATTGAACCATTAGAAATATGAAGTTCAGTTGCAATATTATGTGTAATAAGGACCGGCATATTCATTACAATTGGCAAATATCCTGGCAAGCCTTCCGTTTTATTGTCTGGTATTGAAAGTAAAAAACGACGAAGATCATTACTATCAATTTCATGATTTCTAACTCGATCATTTGCGACAAGTACCATTGGTAAATGATTAAATTTTTTACTTTCGTCAAATACACAATAGTTATTAATGTTTGTTCGTATTTCATTTCTAAAAACTAGGATTGTTGCTGAATTCCATGGTTGTTCACGTAATGATTTAATGTCATTTTCAGGTGAAACAACACGTTTGCATAAAAGTTCATAATCTTCCTTAAAATAAAAATGAAAAGTTATGTATCAATTAATTAGTTTGCTTTACATTGGTACATTGACCGGTTCTCAATCTTGATTGCATGGCCATAAACACTGGATCTTTATTTCGCATTTGTTCAGTCGAAAAAAATACTTTACTAACTTGCAGCCATAATGCTCGACCAACTTTGCATTGTATATCACGCTCAGATAAATTTTGTCGTTTATCATTTTGTTTGTTAAAATTTAGAGTATCATTTAAGGTGTCATTAGATGATAATAAATTTAGATAAAGAGGTCGATCAAGAACTGGTGGATATTGTACAAAATCGCCAAGAAATATCATGTTGATACCACCAAATGGAATTGACGGTTGTGTATGTTTTGCAATTGTTGTTATTTTGTGAAGTCGTGCTAACATATGACAACCAACCATGGAAATTTCATCTATCAAACGATAATCAATGTTTTTCCATTCAGTTTCAATAGTAGCTATTTCTGTTTGAGTTAAAGTTGTTTTTATTGATAATCTATGTCGATTTTCACGTAGCATCGATTGTATAGTTAAACCATTAATTGCTACTGCAGCTGCAAATGATGGTGCAAGACTCCGTAATGTATGCAATCGATCATGATGAGACATGAAAGCACATATTGCTTCCGTCACTCGAGATTTTCCACAACCACCAGCTCCACCTAATATAATATAAAATAAATATATCATTAAATTTTAATGATGAGAGAACAAACTGATAACGTACCAATATACATAAGTAATTGAGAAGGTTTATTAGAATTAAAATCTGGATATTTTTGAAAGACAATTGTACGTTGTATATGAGATGTTATAGTGTTGAAAATTTTGATTTGTTCTTTGTTGAGATTAAATATTTGTGCAAAATTTGGTGTATTCTAAAATACTAGCTTTTTTACGCAACTAGTATCTAAAGGAAGAACCTTTGACGTTTTGTCTGAACTTACAGAATCAAAAAAAAATTCAATTTCGATTAACTTTATGAATTTTTTTTGAAGTTTAGTAGGTACATTTCAAAAGTCAAAGGCTTTCCTCTCGGATATGGTTTCGGTAATAAACTTATTTTTAAGAGAGTAGACGTACGTTGATGATGTTATTTGTTTGAATAATAGTCAACATCGAAGAATTAATGTTATTATTATTGGATGTGTCGACAGTTGAATTAAAAATTTGTTCAGAATTATTGACTTGAGTTAATATTTGGTCCTTGTTTATGATATGCAAAGAAACACATATATTTACACACAAAAAGGTATTTGGTCACAGTACCGTTGTCAATTTATTTTGAGAACCATATAATAGGAATTGTCTTTGTTCCTCTTTCTGAGTTTTAAGATGATGTTGCCATAGATGAATTTGTTGAATATGATATTCGTTTGCTACATGAAGTAAATAATTTGTATTATTATCTTGAATTGAATTATATTCTGTATTATTATATGTAAAATCTCCTAAACCAGTGATATTATTTATTGAAGAGAATCGTTCTGATCGGATAACATTAGCTAATGTAACTTTCAAATATTCCTGTTGTATAGATGCGCGAATTCCATTATTTTCAATTATTTCTTCATTTAATAAAGATGGATACAAATCAATCGATTCGTTTAATAAAGCAAGAATATCTTCCGTATCTTCTATATTTCTATCATTATAGGGACTTGAAGTATTGATCGGTCGAGATGGCAATGGTTCATTAACTAGTTGATAGAGTTCTGCATCACGGTCTTTCTTACAATCATGTAAAAGTTGTATATTGTTTATCACTTTGTTAGATGTTGTTGTAAACGTTGATTGGTGTAGTTGTAAAGCATGAGACCATGGTGTATATGGATCACAAATATCTAAAACAGTTCTCCATGGACGAAACAATGTTAAAATAGCTCGTGCATATCGTTCACTAGTATCTTCACGTTCGCGACGAGGTATTGGTGGACCAACCAAAACTGGAACAACTGGAAAAGAACGACGTATAATTAGATGAGACATATATTGTGGATGGGTTGATTGGAACAGCCACCGATCACTCGGAGGTCGACCACGTCGTCGTACTGATGTTGCCATAGAATTGGCTTCTAACAGAGTCTTATCAAATATGCTCATTTTTGCTTTTCTATCTTCAGAATAAAAAGTATAAAGACAAATATCATCAAGTTCTATTGGTCGTAATTGATAATCAATGCGTTTGTTGCACAGTACAAGATTATTATCGTCGATACCAGTCTCTAGTTCGAATGATTCATTTTGATCTTCATCTTGCTGATCATTTTCATAAAACGGTTCGAATACATCCAATGGTAATTCTTCATTTTCATCGTATTCATTTGTTGTATGATTAAGTTCTGTTTTTTGTTTCAACTGACATTTGAAATTTTGAAAATAGATGCATTAACATGGATGTGAAAAAAAAAATTACAATCTGTATTATATTTACCTGGCCAAGCGATTGTTCTAAATAACGTTCAATACCAATTAAATAAATTTTAATAAATGTATGTGATGTATAATGATCTGGCCATCCCATTAGGTAAGATGCAACTTGAACCGCTGAGATTTCCTGCTGAGATGCTAATGTGTTGAAACAACGAAGTATAAAACGACGTGATTTATCTAATGCATCTGTATAATGTACTTTGGATTCATTTTTTTCAAATTTTTCTACTGCTTGATAAATTAATGAATTACAGTCATGAAATGATAAGTTTTCTTTTGTTATGTAATCACTGATATAATAGACAAGAGCTTTTGTATCGGATCCTGACCAAATAAATTTAATATCCATGTTGCATCTTAATACAAAATAGAAATATAAATTACTCGGATAATAGTGGAATCATATTGCAGATAGTTACCGACAAGCAAGTAGAAGCCATTCATTAAAGTTATTCAACATTGGATGAGAACGTTTCATTCGAATTTCTCCAGTTTCAATATTAATGCTTGTAGTGTCATACATTTCTTTTGGGTATCGTAAGCGACAAGGTGATATGTCAGTTGTTGCTATTCTAACATCTTTGTAACAAGTACTAGTATGATGATGAAATTGATTTTCACATGCTAAAGTTCGTACAGCTATTCGTTTGGCTTCGTCAAAATTTGCATCAGTAGGCGAAGGTATTGGCGAGCATATTGATATGGATGTATGGTTATGTTTTTCAATATTGCATGTATTTGATTCTCTAATGTTGTTTTCAAAAGCATCTAGATCTTCTTTTATAATATCTTCTAAGTAGTTGATTAGATTTTCTCGAAAAACCTAAACAACGATATTAAAGTGTCAATAGAATAGTTTAATTGTAGAATATTTATTATAGTATGCAAGGTAGTACTTCACGTGAAAAAATATAACCCGTTGGAAAGAAAAACGAGAGAAACGGTCACAATACAGAAAAATTATTCAATTTTTATCTTTTTGTTCAAACGGTTTGTGTCCCATTTCAACGAAATTTATATAGATTTCATGTGAAAGCAAGTACAAATCATCAGAAAATAATCATTAAAGTTTTAAATCAGTATATTGTTTTTATTCTGTAGTTACTTAGAACCTTGTCCTGCAGGATATAGTGACTGTTTCAGGATGTTCATATGAGTTATTAAACTATCGGTGCTACGGAATGATTGATATGTAAAATTTTAAAATGTTTTTAGTGGACATTGGCAGATAGTGAGTGCCAATGTTTAATAGACAAACATCTACATATTTAAATAGCAGATTTTTAAAGCAATACTTTTGACTCACATCATCTGATATTAGTTGACGCAATTCATGTGGATCTTTACTATTAGCAAGCCACAATAACATATGTAAATGTAATGCACCTCGGCCCGATTCTTCAACTGTACCATAATAAGCTTCAATCTCACCTAATACACCGCCACCAGGATTTGATTCATGTTTATTAATATTATAATTAATTAATGTAGACAAAACTGTTGTAATAAGTTTGTTAAAGAAACGTGCAATGCCGACAGGATGACTTGCAACGATTGCTGCACGTTCATGTGATTTCGGCAATAACTCAGGTGTTAAATTATCAATATCAAGGTCTACACCGGCAAATTTCATAGCTAATGGATGATGTAAATCACATGGATTAATCGTAATCAAAATGTTTGGTAGACCTGAGAAAAATATTTGTGAGTGAAGTTCTACTCGATAATTAGCACGTGATTGATTTGATCCCATGACACTACCAGAAACAGTTTTCAGTTGTTTCAATAATAAAGATAAACGTGGATTTAATGTATAAATATTCGAATTCGATTCAATCTGATCTAAAGCAATTTTAACTTCTTTAGCTGTCAGTTGATTTATCTCATTAGCTTGTGAGCTAAAATAAGGTCTTGATACAAGTAGACGTGATTTTTTACATGCTGTTCGGCGTTGTAAGATATTAAATGTCACAAAAATGAATGATGCATTCATTTCAAAACGATGATCATGATAAGACAAAAAATAACGAATATGTTTTGCATATGAAACACGTACTGGTCTACGTTCGTTTAAGATATTAAATGTCACAAAAATGAATGATGCATTCATTTCAAAACGATGATCATGATAAGACAAAAAATAACGAATATGTTTTGCATATGAAACACGTACTGGTCTACGTTCGTTTTCAACACCACCAAGGCCGAATGGAAATAATGTCGGATACAATCCTATAAAATGAATATCCTATGAATATAAATGTTGGAATAGTCAAGTGATTTGAATACCAGGTAAAAATGATGTATTAAAATATTCATTCACTGGATATGGTTCATGTGGTACAACATAGATGTTATCATCTGTGTTAGTTATTTCATTAGTAATATTGGTCCGTAATTTTAAATTATGTCTTATATCCTTAGATGATATCGATGTAGCACTTGTATCGATCAAAGCACTCATATTCAATGGAACAACACCGTTTAAGCACAATTCGTTTGGATTTATATCATTATTAACATAACCGGAACGTTCCATATCAGAAGTCTCTGTTTGGTTTAAGAACGACATTGTATTCCATAGTCAATCCGGTATTTCGTTTGTTGGTAATGTATCAATAAGTAAATGATTAATATCTATGTTGTTATATAGGATATTGTTTGCATGCAACCAAATAAGTGCTGTTCGAATTTTTTCTCGACGAACAGTAAGTATTGATCTTAATTGGTCTTTACTTGGAATTGTTTTACCGACAAAAATAATTTTAATAATATGAGGTAGTTCGTCAAGTGATAAAGGAAGTTGCTTAGCAATATCTGATAGGTTTTGTGGAAATGTTATTACATTTCCCTTAAGCGCTGATTGAGCTAGTGATGGATCACCTATGATACTACATAATTTAACGACACAACTAGAATGACGATACTATAAAATTAAGATATTCAAAAGAGTTAAATTTTTAAAAAAATCAATTATTTACTAATGCAATTAGTTTCTGTTCAGGTAAAGTAAGGTCTTTTAATTCTTGGGGAATATTACCAATCCACATTAGATTACTTAATGATAATGATGGTTGATTATTACTTAATAAATCTGTGTAACATTGACGACACAATTGAGCATTTAGTGTTTCTAAATGGATACCTTTTCGACATAGTAGCATTTTGTTAATGATTATACTCGTATCTTTTTCATTCGAGAGATATTCTTGTTTTTGCTCTTCTGCAATGAAATATAAATGACGAAATGAATCTGTTTTACTAAAGTAGTATTTTGAAAATTTACCAGATATATGAAATGTATCAGTTGTTGTATCAATATCTAAATTTAAACGACGAACACACGAAGGTATATGATCGATCTGATATAATAAATGTTTATTTGGAATTTCCCCAATATGTTTTTTAACACTTTCTGTTTTGTAATGTAAGCATGCACAAATGGCACAAACAATTTGATGTACTGCATCGTTTGACATAGCATTTTTGAACTTAGTAAGACAAGCATGTTTAATCTGGGTTGTTGCAATTTTTGGCCATATTTCTGTTGCAGATTGGATGGTATTTATATTACGTCTGTTTTTGGTAATGTAAAATTATGAAAAATGCAAATGTTTTTCTTACGATAAATCGGCATTTCTTTTACATAGTTTTCGATAATTTTGTTCTTCTTCAGTTTCATTCTGTTGACGTTTATTTCTTCTGATCGTTTCAGCTTGAGTGTTAGACCATAAGCGTTTTATACGTTCGTCATATGTTTCGAGGTCTTGTGTGGTCCGTCTTTTATTCATTTTGTATGTTGCTTCTTTTTTCAGTCTTGTTGAACGTATTGCATCCGTTTCCTGTAAATTTCGGGTACGTCGTCGATTTGCGGCAATAAGCGCTTGATTATTCAATCTGTTTTTGCATTGTTCTTCGCTTTCTTTCAAAATAGCAAGTTGTCGTCGTGTTCGTCGACTAATAGCTTCTGAATTCAAATCTGTTATGCGTTGTTTTTCTGTTTGTTGTAACTTTCGAACTTGTCGACGGGTTCTTTGACTAATAGCTTCCGAATGTAATCTTGTATTTCGTTCTTCTTCTGTTTCTTGTAAGTTTCGAAGTTGTCGACGAGTTCTTTCACTAACAGCTTGCGAATGTAATCTTGTATTTCGTTCTTGTTCTGTTTCTTCTAGTCTTTGCATTGTTTTAACATCACGTTCTCTTTGTAATCGAATATTTCTTTCAGTTTCACTTTCCTTTAGGTTTCGATGTGTGCGCCAAATACTAACTCTGTTATTAGCTCCATTTGCCGGATAGTGAAATATTGAACAATTCTTATGGTCATTGACCTGTTTGTTCTGCAAGATTCTAATTATATAAAATTTCAGATTATGCTTACAGTATTTTCATATTCTTCTTTATCTATAAAAAAATGATATTTTTACTATTAATCAACAAAAAGTAAAAGTATGATTAGATTACAGGGTGTCTGAAAAGTCAGACTACAGTGAAATAATTTAATTTCTAAGTTATGGTTCGAATCGACCAAAGAGGCTCATTTTTTTTATTTAATATAGAGACATTTTAGCATTTCAAATCCATATGGACAAGCTTAGTCAGAACTTTTGTTAGATGCCATTATTGACCTCAACAAAAAAAAATTATTTTTTCACAGGTAGGCAAAAAACAACATACAGAGTGATACAAAAGTCAGCTTGCTAAAAAAAATTGAGTATGTTAACCACGAGTCGAGCAAATGAACTGATCTTTTTATCAATAATAGAAATATGTGCACGCTTTATATTCATAAACACATGGGCAGAGAAACTGTTTGTTAAATATTTTATTTTTTTGCCTATCTATGAAAAACTAAGTTTTTTTTTTGTTGAGGTCAATAATAGTCTTTATCAAAGGTTCTCACTAAACTTCTCAGTATGGATTTGAAGTGCTAACATGTTTCTATCTTAGGTAAAAAAAAGAGTCCGTTTGATCGATGAGAACCATAACTTAGATATTCAATTGTTTCACTGTAGTGTGACTTTTCTGACATTCTGTAGTTATTGTTCCGATAGTTTCATAGTTGATTTTCCATGATAAATATCATGGAATGACAGCAGTCGTTTACAATTATAATGTGTATTATAAGTTTATACACTAAGATCTTATTCAATCTTTATTCGATTAAAGTGTTAAATGTGATGTTTATCATCCTAAAAATTTCGAAAAAATGTTCTTTTTTATGTATTCTCGGCCATGTTTCTTTTTTGTGATTCTGTGTTTTATAGAATTGACGTTCAACAGAAAAGTACCTGATGTACGTATAGTCGACCTATCTGTTTGTTTTACATGATATGCAATAATGGTTTCAAGCCATGTATCACAGTCTGTGACAGGAAAAGTGAGATACCAATGTGTTTGATTTTTGTGATTGAAAAATGTTGAAGAAATTGAGTCTGTCATAATCTATTGTGCGAAACCCTGTGACATGGATATCTATTACCGTCTGCTATGGATTTTATTTTAAAAGTGTGTGTCAGTATTCATTAGACATTTTTAACATGTTTGTCACGGTCTATGTAGTAGACCGCGAAACAAGAGGCGCGATGAGTGTTTCAAGTTTCTATCCCCATACACTTTTATACTGGTCACAATTTGTTTTCCAGAAAATTATAAGATTCGTTCAAGGATTACATATCACGGAGCGAATTTATTTCGATTAAAGTTTTTTTAATTAAAATTTAGAATAAACTTTTCGTAAAGTTTTAGGCTATGATCCAGTGAATGATGTAATGCAATTAGATGCTAATTATTTTTAATTCTCTTAAAATATGGATATTTAGATTAATATGGAGTTCTATCTAGTAAAGTTGTTCGAGTCAATATAACGTTAAAATCTGATTTAAAAAATACTCTATGATATAAATGTTTATACATAATGTCTTAAAAGCTTTGTACTCTGTAAGTATAGTCACATAGATTTCAAATTAACATATTTTGACAAGCTTTAATGATAGATGTAATTGAATTGTAAGATAGGCAAAGAAAATTGAATGGTAACTCGATTGTAATATTGTAGTATGTGATTAACCCATAGAACGAAACGGAAATCGAAAGACAGAATTCTTCAGAGATATGTACTGTTCAAGTTTAAGTTAAATTTTATCACATGTTCGTACAAACTTGAATATTAAAAATTGCAAACTGATTAGTTGACACGTATTACAAGAAACTTCTACAAAATGGTATTGCCTTTTATTAGATGTGGTGCCATTACGTTCAGTCTATGACAATTTAGTAAAATCAAACTGTTGGATAATTCTTTTTGATAACGTGTCTTTCACTATTTCAAAAATGATTTACCATTAAATTAAACTAAGATAGATTTGCTTATTGAAATGTTCAATCTGTGGGATGTTTTTCTGAGAATCATTTGATAATACACATTTAAAACTAATCATTTATTCTAAACTGGTAAGTGGGAATAACTTTTTAAAAAATTTATGGCAATTTAGTTACTAATACTAAATAGTTTGTTTTTGGTAATTAAAATATACAAAGTTTTCAATGCACAGATAAAAAATAATTCGAAAACTATCAAAACTGAGTTTTATTTTGCTGAAAAAGTTTTCGATAATACATAACATTAGAAAATTTAGTAGGTGTAAATTGAACATTAAACAACATACTCCGATTATGTTCGATCTGTAGTCGTAGTTCATCTGCGTAGACAAATATGAATTTTGATATTAGATATTCTATTTATAATTTTCATTTATTCAGATAAAATAGTATACCTGTTCTAACTTGTGGTTCTGATGATTGTTCTTGTAATGTTTCAACTGTGGTTGTCGATATAGTTTCACTGCTGAAATCATTATCATTGTTCATAATTTAAATGTTGATGAAAAGGAACAAAATTTTTTATGAAATTTTGATTTTATGCGAGTTAGCGCTATTTGTTTCAAAAATATGATATGTGTTCTTTTTTTTTACTATATGATCGCAAAATATTCATTAACATTTAATAATGATTTGAATAGTACTAACTTTTTTAAAATTGGAACAGATCACAAGTTAATCTGGTTGTTGTAAATTATTTCACAATACTACTATATCTCAAGAAATCACAAGTCAATGCCAGTAATTGTTGAAGTATCGATTCGTAATGCAAGTGTTACAAAAAAAGCCTTATGCTATATAATATAGTGCTTGTTTTGAAACTATAAAATCAAATTCTTATGCAAGGGTAACAAATAACTGTTTAGAAAAAAGCGATTTAATAATAAGAGCGTCAATAATCTATCAACCATTTGGGAAATGGACACTTCCTCTCACCTGTTTATTACGAACTCCGGTTGAAGTAGTCCGTTACGATCT